CAATTAAGAGGAAGAAACTGTGTTCCAATGAAGTGAAACGTTCGAATCGTCAACGGGATACAAGATCGAAAGCCCATCGACACCAAGAAGAACCCAGTTTTAAACAAAGGGAATGATCTCCGTCGATCTTTATCTCCTTTGTAAATCGGGAATCCGATACAAGAAGATTATAAAATTTTTTCTAAGTTTGTTAGAGAGATATTACATTGAGAGAATTGTAAATCGTTCTTTTTGTAAGTCTGTTAGAGAGAATAAAACAATTTTGAGCTCATATTCTTCATTCAATGAGGAGACTTGGAGGAAGTCTACCGACATAGATAACCTACAGGCACTTATCATAGAGAATATGGGCAAGAGTAGGTATAAGGATTAGTCCAGAGGTCATGGCGCATCTAAAGACAGATCAAAGTCTAAAAGAAGAGGTTACTTTCATTGTGGGAAGGTGGGTCATATCAAGAAGAATTGTTGGGCATGAAAGAAAGAGCATGCTTGGAACGAAGATAAAAAGAAAGATGACGAGAAAAAAGCAGATAGTGATACTACAACTACTTTGTTTGAGACCGGAGTTATTCTCATCTTCAGGGAAAAAAACTATATGCATGTTACAAGTTAGAATTTTGAGTGGATAGTGGATACAGGAGCTACATGTCATGCTACCTCAAATCGGGACCTTTTCACATCGTATAAAGCAGGTGATTTTGTCAATATGAAGATTGGTAATAATAACTACTCAAAGATTATGGGACTTGGTGATATATACTTGTAGACAGATACCTGATGCATATTGGTCTTGAAGAATGTGTGGCATGTTCTCAATTTGCTGCTCGGCTTGATTTAGGGTCTTACTTTGGACCGAATGGGATATGAAATTCAATTTGGTGGAGGAAAATATAAAATCATCGAAGGCTCTCTTGTGGTGGTTAGAGGAAGTGTATGTTGCAATTTATACAAGACTCAAGCCAAGGCTTTATATGATTCTTTGAGTGTGGCTCAGGACGCTGATACTCTCAATTTGTGGCATAGGAGGCTTGGGCACATGAGCGAGAAGGGGTTGTAAGTATTAGCAAAGAAGTCTCTCATTCCCTTTGCCAAAGGTTCGTCACTGACTTCTTGTGATTACTATTCATTTGGCAAACAACATAAAGTTTCTTTTAGTAAGCCTTCTAAAAGAAAATATAATATCCTAGATTTGATTTATTCTGATGTTTATGGTCCTATTAAGGTGATGTCCTTGGGTGGCAATAAATATTTTATCATATTTATTGATGATGCATCACGAAAGATGTGGATCTTCTTGTTGAGGATAAAGGATCAGGTGTTTTCAGTCTTCCAGCAGTTTCATGTCATGATGGATAGGCAGGCAAAAAAGAAGTTGAAGTATTTGCGCACTGATAATGGAGGAGAGTACACTTCCATTGAGTTTAGAGGTTATTGCTCCAAGCATGGTATTTAACATCAGAGGACAGGGCCCGACACACCGCAACACAATGGAGTTGCAGAGAGATACAACAGAACCATTATGAAGAAAGTCAGATGCATGTTAAAGATGAAAAAGTTACCTAAGAGCTTCTAGGCTGAAGCTGTTCGCACTGCATGCTACATAATCAATAGGTCTCCTTCAGTTTCTTTAGGTTTTGATATTCCAGAGAGGGTTTGGTCCGGGAAAGATATTTCCTACTCTCATCTGAAGGTGTTTAGTTGTAAGGTGTTTGCACACATTCTGAAGGAGAAGAGACTAAAGCTTGATGATAGGGCGGTTCCTTGTATCTTCCTTGGTTACAGATAAGATGAGTTTGGCTACAAGCTTTGAGATCTAGAAAAGAAACGAATTATTAGATTAGCATATGTGGTTTTTTAGTAGAACCAGACTATTACAGATCTCGGGAGAGCAGAGCAGTTAGAGAGTGTTGCTAGTGAGATTCTAGATATGACACATGTTTCGTCTCCAGTATAGTTGCATCCTACAGATACAGAGCAAGTGTATGATGATGGTATTGGTGATGATGGTCAGATACCAGAGCAGTGAGACAATGACCAGGATCACGAGCAGGAGGCTCCTAAGCAGAGCATCACCAGCAGCAAGAGATTACAGAGCCATAACTTAGGAGATCAGCTAGAGAGCATAGATCATCCACGAGATATCCTCTTTCATAGTACATTTGCTGACAGAAGAGGGGGAGCTAGAGAGCATTCAGGAGGCACAGACTCATACAGACAAGGAAAGATGGTTCTAGGCTATGAAGGAAGAGATGAAATCTCTTGAGAAGAACAATACTTTTGAGTTGGTGGAGTGTCGAAGGACAAAAAAACTTTAAATAACAAGTGGGTGTTCAAGTTAAAGATGGATGGCTACAAAGAGATTCAGAAATATAAAGCCAGTTAGTGGTGAAAGGCTTTGGTCAGAAAAAGGGTATTGATTTTGATGAGATTTTCTCACCAGTTGTGAAGATGGCGTCCATTAGAGTTATCTTGGGGTTAGCAGCTAGTTTAGATCTCGAGATTGAGTAGCTTAATATGAAGACTACATTCGTTCATGGTGATTTGGAGGAGAAGATATACATGGAGTAGCCGGAGGGTTTTGAAGTGAAGGGAAAAGAACTCATGGTTTGCAGGTTGAAGTAGGGTCTCTATGGTTTGAAGCAGATACCCAGGCAGTGGTACAAGAAAGTTGATTATCTCATGTTGAGTCATAGCTATCAGAGGACAGTTACAGATTCATGTGTATATTTTAGGAGATTTTTAGATTCTAGCTTCATTATTCTTTGGCTTTATGTGGACGATATGTTGATTGTTGGTCAGAACAGTCAGATGATCAGTGCACTGAAGGAGTTATTTAAATCCTTTGACATGAAAAATTTGGGCTCAGCATAGTGGATTCTTAGTATGGATATTACCCGTGACATGAAAGCGAGGAAGTTGTGGTTATCACAAGAGAAATACTTTGAACGGTTGCTTGATAGATTCAACATAAAAGATGTCAAGTCAGTTAGTACTCCTCTTGCAGGTTATTTGAAGCTCAGCAAGAAGTTTTGCCCTACTATAGATGAAGAAAAGAGTGAGATAAAGAATATTCCTTACTCTTCAGCTGTAGAGAGTTGGATGTATGTCACGGTTTGCACTCGGTCAGATATAGCTCATGTAGTTAGAGTTGTGAGCAGATTTCTTTTTACTCTAGAGAAAGTTCATTGCGGAGGTGTAAAGTAGATCTTAAAATATTTGAAAGGCAGTTCCAGATTGTGTTTGAGATTTGGAGTTCGAAGGCAGTATTACATGGTTTTGTAGATATAGGTATGGTAGGTGATCTCGATCATAGGAAGTCTACCTCAGGGTGATTGTTCACTTTTGCAGGGGGGCTGTATCTTGGCAGTCCAAGTTGTAGAAGTGTGTTGCTTTATCTTCAACAGAGGCAGAATACGTTGTAGTTACAAAAGGCGGCAATGAGAAGATTTGGTTGAGAAGATTTCTACAGGAGTTAGGCTTGCAGCAGGACAATTATTAAATTTTTATTGATAGTCAAAGTGCTCTTGATTTGAGCAAGAATTCCACATTCCACTCCAGGACAAAACTTATTGATGTGAGATATCTTTGACTTAGAGAAGTTGTTGAGAAAGAGGAGCTGAAGCTATAAAAGATTCATACAGATAAATATCCAACAAAGTTTTTAACAAATACCATTTCTAGAGAGAAGACCGAGTTGTGTTAGCGATTGACCAACATGAACTCCGGTGAGGAGTTACAGATTGACATACCCTCTCGTTGGGCTGGAGGAAGAGATTATTGTGGGTCTAGTCCAATTGGGGCCCACAATGACTAGGTCAAATTTCTTGAATTCTATTAAGAAAATGATTCATATGGACCTATTCATAATTTGAATAGGAAGGGATGACTTAGAGATACATTTTCATTATTAAGGGAATTGGCCACATGACATCCATCACCCTATAATTTGTTTTTCGTATGAACAGTAACCCGAGAGTTACTGTAGAGGGACTACACTGATTTCGAGAGGCCTTCGCCTTCCACGACCTAACCAGGGTCTTATCATTTTCAGTGGCCATGACGAAAGTGAGAGAGAAGGAGAAAGAGAGTGGGGAGGGGGGGGGGGGGAGAGAGAGAGAGAGAGAGAGAGAGAGAAGTTGAGATTCCGGATAGCTCGGTTGTACGATTGTAGTGATTCAAAAGTCGTTGTCTTTAGAACGACGATGTCGTTGAGGGCACGGTGTTGATTTCTCCGCGTGCATTAGAGATTTATGGTGAGATGGGTTTTAGGGTTTTTGTGCCCTAGAGGTAACGTTAGATTTTTCTCTTGTGATTTGATTCTCAAGTTAGGGTGTAACTTTGAGGGATTGTACTCTCAATTGATAGTGAAATATTGCTCTCTTGATTGTCCCGTAGACATAGGCACGATTTTCCGAATCATATTAAATATTGGTGTTTGCTTGCGTGTAATATTTTCATTGGTGTCGTTATTTGTTTTAGTGTTTAATTCCGTATATTAATCTCCATAAAATTTCTAACAAGTCATTGATATATAATACTTGCACTGTAGACCACATCATTAAAATTTCGCGCTAGATGCCTTTGCGGCCTCATTCCAACTCCTAAGACTCGTTATCCTGTTGAATCCCTACCCAAAATTCGGAGTTGCGCTAGCTCTCCTGCTTGTTGAGTTTGAGCTTGAGGATGTCATAGTGAGATTCCCCCAATTCCTCTAATTTCAATTTGCAATCGGAAAAGAGAGAACTTTTGCCCTAATTTTTCAAAAAAAGAAGAGAAAAGAAGAAGCATGTGCAACTCACATGCGTTCAACTTAATTCATGCCATGTCAGTTACCCCCGCCACATCAGCTAGCACATGAGGCTCACGTCAGCTTCTGCTGATAGTTTTTGGCTGGCGATTAAGATTTGTGTCTCAGTAGTAAGAGAGGTTTACAAAATATATACAAAAAATATTGCATAAATAATAAAATATACCAAAGTAGTAATAAAGAGGTCTACAAAATATATCGATTTGATAATTTCGCCAAAGAAAATGTTAGCACATCGCAACGAATATTTGGGAAGCTTAACCCTTTTCTCCGTCGCTCCCCAATAATCTTTCCCTTCCTCATATTGTTTGTACCTCTGTAAAGGGGAATCGAATCGAGAGGCAGGAGAAGATTCTGATGGAGGCGTACAAGCTTTGGGTTCGGAAGAACAAAGAATTCGTTCACTCCATCGAATCTCTTGCCAACGTGAGCTATTAAACCCTAATTCTACTCTAAATTCTTTAGTCCTTGATGCCCATTTTCTTTAATTTCATTTTGGTCCTCTCAATTTGAGAACAGGGCATCACTTGGCTTCTCCCCGAACGCTTCTCCAATTCTGAGATAGCACCTGAAGCAGGTTCTTTCTATTAATTTTGGGTAAAACTCATATAATATTGTTCATTGATGAAACATGAAATAAAAATGAAATCTATTGCATTTGTTTGGATTGTGGGTACTCAAGATTTTGATTGCTTTCTACAGTATACGCATTGTTGGGCATAGTGAGTGCTTTGAATCAGCATATTATTGATACCACCCCGTCCCGGTCTCGGCCTCAGGGTCAGGGACAGTTATCATTTCCATGGCCTCTATGTGTTTCTGCACTTAAAGATTTGGAGACAGTTGTTGAAGTGGCTGCTCTGCACTTTTATGGCGAAGATGGCAAGTGGAATTTCATTGTAGTTACAGAGGCCATGAAGTAAGATCAATGTCCTATCAACTGTTGCTTTGATTGAAATCAGTTTTAGATGTTAGCCTGAATGAATTTGTTGATTTTCAGGGCAATGGTTAGGTTAGCTTTGTTTCGGGATAGTGGGTACAAAATGCTTTTGCAAGGAGGTGAGGTTGAGAATGTTGAGAAGAAGAGACCTAATGTGCAGGGGCTTCATCATGCTCAAGGTTATAATGGTTTTATGCCTCATAATCTCGAAGGGAGAGCTATGTCAGCGCTGAGTAGATTTGGGGAGAATGCTAAAATGGCCTTAGATCCAATGTGGATGAACCGGTTCCATAGGAATCCCGAGACCAACGGTAATAAGCATGTAATGATTAGTGGATGGTTATTTTGGTAATTAACTTAGAAGAATTTATCATCTTCATGACATTTGATGCAATACGCCTTTGATTATGTAGGTATGTTGATCAAGAAGCCCACACTTTCGATAATATGGTCGCAGAGGGGACTCTATGGCCGGTTGTTTTTGATGGGGGAGGTGCTTTGTATTGTGAGACCACTCCTCTATGTTCTTCTAATTAAAAAGTTCGGAACTAGATCATGGACACCTTGGTTACTTTCATTGGCTGTGGATCTTACTGGAATGAGCATTCTTTCACATGCTACGAATCCTAGTCATGTGGGAGAAGATGGGTTTTATAAGGTTTCCAGTGCTGAGAAAGACGAGGTTAGTGTATGTAATACTTTTATTTAAGAGTTTGCTGCCATGATTTTAAACTTTGAACAATATTGGTCAGATAGGTAAGTGCACATTTAAGGAAAACTTGATTTATCAAAAGTTCGCTGATAGGTATGTGCAATATAAGGAATTGATTTATCAAAAGTTCTAACTATGTAAAAGAATAATGCCAGCCTAAGGAATTTAAATAATGACATAGACCCTTTTTAAGACATAGCTAGATCATTTTTAAACAACATATTCATGCGAAATGTAAATTGGGTTTTTAATGATAAAGATCAGAACTTACAGAGATGGAACAATGGATAATGATAAGAGAAATTGTATAAATGATTAACATGCCATCAAGAAAAATCTTAGAATTGAAATGTCTAATAGAAAAATTTTGAATTAGAGAGATAGGATCTTTGCTTATTGTTTAATTTATTCTAAATTTATTTGACAAAAAGCATGGTTCTTATTTATGTTTATATATACAGAGTTTTCATTAAATAATCCTTTAAAGCTTAGCACTTTTGGAGGCTTCAAGTTATGCACACATTGAACGTCTTCCACATGTTCACCATCAAAATTCACATGCCCTAAAATGTAGGATGAGTACATATATTATTAGTGGCCACTGCAGGAAAGAAGAAGAAGCACATTGAGAGGATGAGTTTAACGTCAGCTGTCAGTTGCAAGTATCACCCTAAAGGCACTACCCCTCTCAAAGAATAGGGAACAAATGATATTCAAATATGGAGTGGATCCTTAAACTTACTCCACCAAGCAGATGTTTATTAATTGTGGGGTTTGATATCTGCAGTAGTTCCAAGAATCTATTTTTAATTACTCTTTGGTTGAACTAAAGTAATCTGCCACTGGCAGGTTATATATATTCTGAAGAACTTAAGAAATAAGTAGAATCTGATATGAAAACAATTTTTTTTTTTGGGTATGATTCGGTTTTTTTGATAGGGAGCACCTCCGTATCCAAACGAAATATGTTAGACTTCTGATAAGGAGAGAAATTCTACTTGCACAAATTTGTTTTTCCCCCCCTTCAATCTTCTTATAGGGATAAAGTTTCACCCACCAAACAAATTTAGTATTTTAAAAAGTTGACAAGAAGAGGACTTTCCTATAATAAGAACTCCAGTCTTGAATTTGTATTCCAGTTTAGCAACATGGAATGTCTAGTTCGGAATTTTGGCTTTTTATTGGGTCCAGATTAGTGACTGTGCTTTAATTTTTAATTTGATGTTCAGTTTGGCAATCAATATTTAATTTGATTTCCACTGTAATGTCGTGAATGCCAATGTTTAATTTCATTTCCAATTTAGTGACAGAGGTTGATATTTAAGTTGATTTCCAATTTAGCAACATGGAAGCTGATATTTAATTTGGATTCCACTTTAATGACACGAGGGTCTACATCTTACCCTGTTTTCAGTTTAACGATGTAATTGTTAAGTTTTTGTTTGACGTCCAGTGTAACCATGTAGAGGTCAATATTTAATTCGACATCCATTTAGCAACATAGAGGTCGATATTTAACTTCCTATTTAACAATGTACATGTTGATATTTGATCTGATTTCCATTTTAGTGACATGTTGATATTTATTTGTTCTTCTAGTTTAACGATGAGGGGTCGATATTTAAATTATTTCCTTCTAGGTTAAGGACCACTGTTCGATTTTTTTTTTTACTTGATTCCGGTTTAGCGATGTTGATGTTGATTTTCAGTATAACTTTGTGGGGTCGATATTTAATCTGTTTCATGTTTAAAGCATTAAAATTTGGTAATTCTGATATTACAGAATATTTAAAAATTCGAAAAGACAAACATTCTGTCAATGAGTCTAATATGGAGTTATGATCATTCGCAAGAGAAGGTAGTAGGTTGTATATTTTGATTTTGTTGGCAGGCAGCGCGGGTCCTGGAGGACAGGGTTTCACCAGCGACGGGTATAGGTTAACGGGAATAGCGTGGCAGTGAGGGGGATGTTTGTGGGAGGAATTTTTGTTTAATTCAGCCCTTCTCTGTTAAAATTATAACAGTTTGAGAGGAGAGGAGCATCTTAACCCAATATGAGGGAATATGAGGGTAAATTCTCCAAATAGTCAGATTCGGAGGGCAATTCTACAGATAGAATATATTTTGGGATATGCAAGTGAAAATAATTAATACATATCAAAATATGCACAATATATTTGTGCACATCTATGTTTAAAGTATATCCAGTTGTACATGATGGAAAAAATTGATTAAAATCATGTCCAGCTAATGTCATCTTATTTAATATATCGAAGAACTAAACTTAAAACTATTGTTGGTATCCGATTAAAGGGTGATATCTGATCTAAACCCAGCTTAATTTTCATGAAATCTCAACAGTCTTAATTATTTAATTAATACTGTATTTTTATCTCTACTCGTTAGAGGGAAAATATGGTATTTATACCCATTTGCTGGTATCCACTTTTAGGTACTAGGTTTCAGTTGATGATGAGAGTAATTGGAGTTCATTTGATGTTCAAGTACATGGTTTTGCAAAAGAAATCGAGATGTAGGAACAGGTGATGACGCAGCTATGTTGGGTGGTGAAACCATAGGCATCCTGTTACAGGCAGTGGTTTTAACAAGTATTTGGTATAATCCGAATAGTATCCACAATTCATTTGTATGTTAATTTGTTAATTTTATAATAAATAGTAAGCTTTTCACATAGGCAGTCAAACAGAACATAAAGTAAGAATACTAGAACACGTAGGCTTTACCTTGGCAGACGCATATTTTGTCGATGTTGCAGCATGGCATTCTAGTCGTCGTCTTTGTTTTATCTAAAACTATAATAACCATCTGGTCAATATTTTATTCATGCTAATAGTTTACATCTTATGCTTGAATTAGTTAAAACGCCGTAAGCTGCTATGGGCACTTTACGTCATGAGAGATCCATTCTTTACCAAGTATACCAAGTACGCATAATTCCACTTTACGGTTCAAGACTTATTTGATCGACTTTGCTAATCAAATTTAATGACTGCTTGGCGTTTTTAAACATCTCCTGTTTCAGGCATCGTCTTGAGAAAACTGATACATATCTCAGTCGTGTCCCAGTTATTGGCTTCCTTACCGGTAATTCTGATTCCAGACTACGTGCTTTAACTTGCCCCTTTCTGCTTTTCAAGTTTGAAGGCTAACCCGACTTGATTTGTTGGTTCAGGCAAGCTAGTAGAGCTAGTGATTGGAGCTCAAACACGATATACTTACACATCAGGTTCCTAAGTGCCATACAATCTCTAGGACTTTGTTCGTCGGGCTTGGTTGGTTAAATTTTGTCAATTATACCTTAAACTTTAGTTGCAATACATGTCACACTATACGCATGTATCTCGTCCTGCAATAATCTTTACACGGTTTTTTCGAATGAGCAATGTATGTCAGCCAGAAGCACATCTAAGATGTAATTCCGATCAAGTACGTGCAACAAGTGCTTTGACGCTTTCAAGAAAAATTGATCGAACAAGATTATGTCAGTCTGCTCTCCAGGTCAACATCCTTCATGACGATTGAAAACAGAAGATGGTATTTATTCTTTGTTTATACCTTTATGTCGCACAAAGCATTAACTCCATGGTGAATAACCTCTAAGATCACTTGCTGAGTTAAAAGCAGAGTCTTTGTGTAGTTTGGTTGACAACTTGCTTCAGAAGTTTGAAACGTTAGGTGTGCATCTTTGATACTCATGCATGATTGGGTAGCGTTGAGTTCACCTTCGTTAGGGTTGCGGTGATTTTGGGTGAGTCATAAATAGGTGGGCACATTTATATCCATTTGCCCTTTCACTTCTCACCCACCCATTTATTAAATCGGTGCTCCATGGGTGACCTAATAATTAAAAAAAAATACCCTCATAGTTTAAAATTGCCGGCAACCACCTGTAAATTTATAATTTACAAAACATACCAAATCATAGTTTAAAAAATTGCAAATAACGCCCCTAAAGTTCAAAATTACAAAAAAACCTCAAAAATTCCTAAACTTGCAAATGAAAAATGAAATCTAAAAATTTCCAACAGTCACCAATAAATTTAAAATTTGCAAAGAACACCCTCAAGGTTTTAGAATTATAAAAACCACCCAAAATTTTAAAACCTACAAATCGGTCCCTTATAAATTTATAATTTACAGAAAACACTCTCAAAGTTTAAAAATGCAAAAAGCACCCTCAAGAGTTCAAAATTATATAAAACACTCAGAATTTTCTAAATTTACAAATGACACGTGAAAGTTGATAATCTATAGCAGCCCCTTGTAAATTTGGAATTTCTAAAAAATACACTCAAAGTTTCAAAATTTGCTAAAAACGGCCTTAAAATTTCAAAAATTGCATAAAACACCAAAAAAATTCCAAAACATGTACATAAACACACTACAAATTTGGAAGTTACAAGCATCTTTTACGATCGTGTTCCATAAATTTGCTTTTCATAATTTTTAAACTTTCACGATGTTTTTTGCAATTTTTAAACTTACAGGAGATTTGTGGCAATTTTTAATTTAATGTGTTATTTGTAGGTTTTGAAATTTCAAGGCTGTTTTACTAAATTTTAAACCTTGAAGTTGTTTTCGTATTTTCTAAAACATCGAGGGTGTTTTTGCAAATTTTAAATTTATAGGGGGATGTTAGAAATTTTTAGACTTCATGTATCATTTGTAAATTCAGAATATTCTGAGAGTTTTATATTATGTTGAACTCTTGAGGGTGTTTTTTTGTAATTTTTTAAATTTTAAGGGTGTTTTTTGAAAATTATAAATTTACAGGGGGTTGTTGGTAATTTTTAGATTTCATGTCATTCGTAGGTTTTGAAATTTCAGGGTGGTTTTTGTTATTCTACACTATTGAGAGTGTTTTTCTCCCTCTTTTAACCTTTGAGGGTGTTATTTGCAAACTTTAAATTTATATGGGCCTACTGTAAATTTCATGATTTCTTGTGTCATTTGTGAGGTTAGAAAGTCTTGAGAGTTTTTTTGTAAGTTTTAACTCTTGAGGGTGTTTTTATAATATTTTAAATTGTAAGGGTGTTTTTTGTAAATCTCAAAATTTTAAGGGGTTGCTGGTAATTTCTTGATTTTATGCGCGTTGGTCGTTAGCTGTGTTTTCTATAATTTAAAACTTTTAAAAATATTTTTGTAATTATTGAAACTTAAATGGTGTTTTTTAAAGAATACTCATCTAAATGGACAAATGGGCGAGTAAGAGCTCGCCCATTTATGATCCATTTATCTTTAATAGAGACAATGTCCGCATATTTATGACACATTTAACTAAACAGGTGTGTTTTGAATGGGTCATTTAGTGGGTGGGTATGAATGACAAAATGTGTTTGGGTCAATTTTGCCATCCCTAATTGCTCCTTGCTATCGAAGAGTTCTTGCTCCTTAATGAAACGAAACGGCTCTGTAAGTATGAGAACCTGGGCGACCTACTGGCGTAGCTCATAATGTTAGGAATCTGTGAGTAGGGCTGAGCATATTCGGTTCGGTTCGGTTTTATGTCCAATCCGCATCAAATTCGAATTTTTCGGATGCTCAAAACTCTCATCCGGATCCACATTTTCCCCCTTCATCCGAATATTCGGCCCAACCGAAATTCGGTTCGGTTCGGTTTCGGTTTTGAATTTGCAAAAAGTTCTATCCAAAGACTTCTGTTGTGAATTTGCAAGCTGGGTATTGTCCTCATGATGAGGTTCCTAAGCTCGCCAACAAAGCTTTATTAGACTGGTTAGCATCTTTAGAATAAAGTTTTGAGTTGATATAATTACGTAGAGAACTGATGTTTTAAAGATGTTGTTCATATAATACAGCATGCTTATCTCTTGTAAGTATCATGTACATAACACATTTTGTGATTGATTTGAATCTTATGTAATTCTCAAGATCTTTTCTGTGAAATTTTTTAACTAAAGTTTAAGTTTATTTAATTACACGGGGGAGTGATGTTTTGTATGATATTGTTCATATAATGTAGCATATGCATTTTTTGTAAGTGCATCATGTGCATAACAAATTTTCTGGATTGATTTGAATCTTTACTTAGTTCTCAAAGATATTTTTCTGTGATATTGCTGTACTCATTGCTTGAAACTGCTCCTTGCGCCGTTTGAATCTATTGGATGATAACAGGAAAAGTTTTAAGGTATAAGTTTAGTCTCTAAACCGCCCAACAAAATTCGGGTCGGTTTTTTTGGGCGGTTCAGGGGTTCAAACCGGATCCAAACCGATTTAATTCGGTTCGGGCGGTTTAGAGACTTCTTCTCATCCATTTAATTCGGTTCGGTTAACCGGTCCGTTTTTTCGGGCGGTTTTTTCGGTTGAACCGGTTTTTTTCGGTTTTTGCCCACCCCTATCTGTGAGCTTTCTGATGCGTTTTGAGTAGCACTTGAAATAGGATTGCATGCTGTGTAAAGACGATAATACCAGGGGTAGCTTTGAAATTTATAATATCAACAGTTACACGTAGCAAACATTCGACGATGAATTAAGGTCGCTTCCTTATCTATGAGCAATTTCTCCAAATCGTTCGGTCCCGGTCTTATTTTGGGGGGAAATCCTTGCTAGGTAAATTTTTCCAGAGGCTACAAAGTCCTACAACCTTCTGCTCCTCGTATCTGAGCCAGGAAACGCGCGCGCCATGTTCACCCCCCTGGCCGATACCCGTCCTTCAACCAGTAGAAGCACATTTTTCGCAAATAAACTTCGTCGTCGTCGCAGAAATCCCGACGCAACAGCGCCAAGTGTCAACGTTGCCGGACCACCCCAAGCTCCCAACATGACATCCACCACTCGGCAAGCTCCGTCCGCCTTCCCACTCTCTATAACCCCTTCACGACCCCGTGAAACACGAGAAATGCGGCACCGAACCCCTCGCCCACCATCCCTCCCACAGGTACCCGTTAGCTCTCCTCGACCAGCCCCCTCCCAACCTTCACCACCCGTACGCGTTCGGGTACCTATCGCCCTCGACATTATCGTCAACACCTTGCAGCGCGTCGAGGGCCTCTCTCTCTCTGTCTATACCGGGACGAGCGTGGTCGTATGCCCGGCGTCCGGCGGTTCGCACCCCTTGGCCTTATTCTCCACTAACTGTATCCCCAGCCCCTCCCGAGGGTAGAGTAGTGATCCCCGTCGTCTACACTGGAGGGCGGTGCCGGTAGTGGCCCCAGTGGGCCTGTCGACCAGCGTCTCGGCGTCCGGGGCGAGGTTGGGGGGTCTCGGAGATGGAGTTGAAGAGGGAGCAGGCATGGCTACGGAGCGGGCGAAGGCGGAGATGAGGATGTTGAAGGAGCGGAGGGAGGGGAGGTGGTAAGAGCGGAGGAGGGATGAGGGCGGAGGGAGGGAGGAGGGGTGGGAGGAGAGGGCAGGGGAGGCGGCTTGAAGTGGGTGGGGAGGAGAAGGGGACGGAGGAGGGGCGCGGCCGGAGGAGGAGAGGAGGAGGTCGGCGGGCGGGGAAGGGAGGAGAGGCTGAGAGGGGAGAGGGAGGATGAGGAGCGGGGAGGGGAGGGAGGGGGGGGGAGGAGGGAAGAGGAGAGTGGTGCAGGTTTTGGGGAGCGGCGAGTTTTTAGGACGGGGTTTGAGGTGGGCGAGGAGAGGAGGAGCGAGGAGGAGGCGCAGGGGGAGGAGGAGAGAAGAAGACCAAGGGAAAGCTGGATAGATTTCCTTGGCGAGGAGGGTCGGGATTGGGAGAATGAGCTTGCGGAACGCGGGATGCCGCGAGAGGGAGGGGAACGACGGCAAGCGAGATCCCGCCATGGCCGCCGCCGCCTGCTGCTGCCTGCTTGCTTGGACCGTTTACCGCCCTGCTTGTTTTCAGTTTGTTTGTGGTCCACAGGGGGGAGGGGGGATCGGAGGAGCGGAGCAAACGGATCTCTAAATCTTCAAAGGTTTCAAACTTTAGACCCTTTTTTTTTGCTATTGGGTCCCGGAATTCCTGTAAGCTGTTCCCAGATGGGAGAGATTTTCGAATTAAACCCAATCCCACAAATTTAATCCCACAAATCGACCGTATCCTCTGCAGGCGGGCAATATGGGTTAAGGCCAAATTAGTCGGGGTTGCCAACCATGACCAAAATGTCGGGATTGAGGACCCCGACCATCTAACAGAGAGTTCGCGAGGACTCAACCAATTCGCAAAGTGGCTACGGAAGGAAATAGTCAGG